ACTCCTAGTTGCTTTTTATGCTATGTTACCCTGGATAAGCTCCAGCTGGGCAGGTATTTGACTTGCCTACAGATGAACCTTAAGTTTGTTTTATATATCTTTATAAAATAAAGTGTAGAGTGTAAAGTGCAATGTTTGCTGTTACGGATTACTTGTTAAAGTCAGTAAATCAGTTGATGTGAAAGTGTCATGACACGAGTAAAATCTATGGAATCAAAAAGTTCAAGTGACTTACATTATGTGTATTCGAGTCAATCATTAAGCTTGATACTGCTCTCCACCTCTCCACACAGTTAATGAGCCCTGCCCAGTTTTCATGCTAACAACAGAATAAATGAACATTTCTCACTGTACTTGCACCAAAATAGTAACACAAAAATTGTGACCTGAAAGGTAGATTTTTAATCATACCAGTTCATAGCAATAACAAAAGAACCATAACAGTCTCTCCAAGGAGAGATGATAATTATAACCCAGCCCTGACCATTTCGAGGTTATAAAATTTTGGTTTTCATTAAGCTTTTAATCAGTCCACTTCCATCCACTAATAAGATTCCAAACCTTGTAATACACAGTCATATTGATAGCATACCAAGTTTGAATATTAAGTTTGGACACATTTATTAAAACATTTCATTAAATCTACAATACCTGTTTCTGTTTTTTGTTTGGTGACTCTGAAGAACAGAAAACTTCTGCAGATGGTTTAGACCTTTTTCGCGGTAGCAGCAGCACATGGTCTTTCTCTTTTTGAACACAAGGACCCAATGCCTTTGCCTCTCTTAAAGTAGTTTTCACCTTGTGTTCTTCTTTATAACAAGACCAAACTTTTGACTCTTTGGAAAATGGGACAGAGTGATTCTCTCTTCCAACACAAAAGGTTGCCCTTGAAATTTTTAAAGGTGGCATGTTAGCAGCACTCTCTTTCCTCATCCTGGATTGCACACTAACATTAACCTCATTGTCCAGACTACTCAACACTGGAGTGTTCTTGGACCTGCCAAAAACTCTTTGTAGTTTAACAGCTGGTTGAGTTAAAGGAGAATTGTAAGCCGAGATTGAATATTCAGCAGTAGAAGGAGGAGGATCCTGTTTGTCAGAATTGAAGGAAAGATGTTAGCTATCATATGAACAGTTGAGAAGTTGGGATCCAATAAAACCCCTAAGTACCCTACCTTCCTACTTTAACACAAACAAAACCTTGCAAGTCCAAGGAATTTAACATTTGCAATTCTCTTGTTGAATCAAAATCAAAATGAAGCCTTTTTTATTCTTGAGAAAAATAAAAATATAAAGGCTTTCAGTATTTAATACAAACAATAATTAAAAAATCTTTATTTTACCAGAACAACATTGATACACTAAAGGCCCATTTAAACGATTTCAACATTTGCTTCAACATGCATTCAACACTTTGTTGAAACAAATGTTCGGTGCATTTAAACAGGTCGTCCAACATTGCTGAAAACATAATAAATGTTGAAAGCTTGTTGAAAGCATGTTGAATCAAGTTTAAATCAGTTCAATCTTTCATTCACCATCGATTCAACTTTTCCTTTGTAAGGCCTTTGTGAGGCCTTTGAAAGGCCTCTGAACAACTTTGTTTTTGCATCCAACATTTTCCCAACATCCGTTCTACTTTTGTTTAATGAATGTTGTTCAAAATAAATGTTGAAACCGTTTATGTGGGCCTTAAGATGCAGTCACTTGCTACTCTCCCTCACCTCTGGCATGAGAGTGTATTGCATGACAAGACCAAGCAACAGCTGCTAAGGGGACTATTTACCAGATTGACATTTATGAGTTTAGGGCAGTTTACTCAAGCTTTTGACCCCTAAAAGAGACTAGCATCTAATTTCTCCTTACAATATCATCTCTGAATCATACATTAAGTTCATAAGAGTAAAGAAAATGATCACCAACGAAACAAGCTCTTGATTGATAAACAAATTCTCCTTGTCCGTGCCCAAGGAAATGTATAGAGAACAGTATGGAGAATATAGATGCTGATGTTACATCGTAAAAGGGTGAACAGATTTACAGTGTATAATCCAAATCTATAGATTAAAACATTTTGACCATCTAAATGGATTTTCCAATAGGACACTAGATACTCTGTCACTAAAAGAAGTTTATTGCAGGTAAACTCCTGCAAAACACAATTTTACTACATCATCCTCAAGGTGGTCCTCCAGGTGCACTGCACATGTACCCAAAATAATTATTTCAAACAGAATAGCATTTAATTTTTCTCACCTGAAGTATGAATTCTGGAATATAATCAGGAGACAGACATTGTACCCCAACACTCTGAAGGGCTTGAATATCTTGCTCAAGTGCTTTTTCCACAAAGATATGCGTTATTTTTGATGCAAGACTAGCAGAGAATGGTGGCTTTCCACTGACAATTGCAGCACCACCAACCTCTAACAACCTTAAGAGAACAAAAAATAAGATAAAATACCTCTAGCCATATGTATTCAAACAAAATATTGTGATTAGCACAACTAACATCATTCATCAGTCCAACTATTTACTTTAACCGCCCCCTGGTTAGCTCAATTGTCCCCCAGTTAGCTCAGTTGGTTAGAGTGCCAGATTGTGTTGGGTGAGAGGTCGAGGGTTTGAGCCCCGGCCAAACCAATACTCAATGGTCTTAAAATAACTGAGGAGAATTTGCTACCTCTCTATAATATCAAGAAATGGATAGATACATTCTAGTCTTCTTGGATAAGGACGAATAAACCATAGGCTCCGTCTCCTGCAGGGTTAGGGGTAGGAGACGTTAATTTCTCACAGATGAGATTTCTGTGTGATTGATGTCCTCCCTTGGGGTGGGATGGGTGGGTGTTATTGTTTCACAGGGCCCCATCAAAACTAGCTATTTGTTAAACTGGGCTATCCTGTATAAATATTCATAAATACATACATACTATACGTGTACACACACAAATAATTTAAAAAATTTTGCTTTTGATATAAAAGAACGTTAACATTCAGTCTAACTTCATTGCTACACATACAAGAAGTAGAGTGAGCCTGTCTTATTTTTTCAAAGAAATAAATGAAAAAATGGATGAATGGAAAAACAAACTGAAGGAAAAAAATAGATGACAGCAAGGACTAAATGTAAATGTATAGCTGTGCATAGAAGAATAGAAAACCAAGCAAACAAATGTATAAAGGCTTCTCTACCCTACCTCTTCTAAGCAGCTCTCTTCTTAGAATCTGCAACATTTACCAATGCTTTCCAACCCTCAAAAGGACTTGGATTGTTTTGTTGCAGAAGTTTTCTCCAACGAGAAGGCGACAAAATATGAGAGGCAGAGATTCCCTCCACAGCACACTGCTCACTCCACTCATATAAATGTTCATCTAACCATTTCCTGGCCTTAATGCTGTCCTCTATATACTGTCTCCTTAAAATCCACTTGCCTAAACAAAATGATATGTCAAAGGATAGATCAATCCACAGACTTAGTTCTTCTTCAAATTTGGCAATGACTGTTCAATGTGTTCTGAAAGGTTTAATCTTCTTTAGTGCTATTCAGAAATAAATAATTATTTCCCAAATCAAGAATTGACTGAGAATAGTTCATCGTGACTCATTTGCCAAAGGAATATGTTTATGGTAACTCTTCTAGTTTTCTTCATCGGGTTATGACCAAAGCAACTGTTTTTTTTTTTTTATTTATCTGTTTCACCCCTTTGAGAATCAAGAGCACAGGGGCAACATTTGAAATTTCCATTTCAGTTTTATACTTAATTCACAAGAAATAGCCCTCAGCCAATCAGAATGTATGTGCTGCTACAATCACCATCATCATCATCATCATCATCATCATCACACTATGCATACTAAGTCAAGAGAAAGTTGATGTGAGATTGTTCATCACCAAATTACAGACACCGGTTTATTGTAATTAATGCCTGTCAACGAGATTAGCAATAATATTGTAGAACCTTGCTAACTTGAACTCTCAATGGAAACAAAAAATTGTTTGTTAGCAGAAGGTTTGAGTTAGATGATAGTAAATGACTGAAAAATGGGGTCTAGGGAAATCGGACCTTGTTTAAGTTACTGGGGGGTTTGAGTTAACTGAGGTTAAGAGGGGTTCTCCTGAAGGACCCTGTTGCATTATAAATATGAACTTACCCGATACACAGCCACAAAGAAATTTTTCACCTCGATTTGGTTTTCCACAAACAATATGTGTGCAACTCCTAACAAAGTGCTAATGATAGCAAAAATAAATAAATAAATAAATAAATGTAATAGAAAAAAAGAACATTGCCTTATGATCACAGTATGCAAGGCAGCTAATCAGCAACATGCATTGTTTGGGGTCATCTGAGAAAACGTACTGTGCCAATATATTGAAGCACAAAGCAGTGACATCAAATCTGCTGGAATCGAAGATCTTTAATTTAATAATAGATGTGTACTTGGCAGAGCTAAAATCTGAGAATTTCTTGCATAAGTTTGTTTGTTTGAAAAAGGCAAAAACGATAATAACAGCAATAACAAAGAGAAAAAAGAACACTATCTAGAGATCAGAAAAGAATGGAAAATCAACCCTAGCAAAATGCAAGTCTAATCATAAAAAGCAACTTGGTATTATGTTTACCCTTTTACCCCTGACCGCGATGAGCATCTAACATCTCCCAACAGTATCACTCCTAAATCTAACATTCAGGTCATAAGAATAGAGGAAGTCATCGCTCACTAGGTAAGCTCTTGATTGTGAGGCAAATTCTCCTGGTAAGTACACAAGAAATGCATAGAGAACCCTATGAAGAACTTGCCTACGGATACGTATGATGCACGATCCTCGCAGTAGAGAGCCCTATTTATGCAATAGCGAAAATCAGACCTGAAAAAAATCAGGCCTGTACGGGATTCGAACCACTGACCTCTGCGATACTAGTGCAGCGCTCTACCAATTGAGCTAACAAGCCAACTGGGAGCAGCCCGTTAAGTTGATTCGTAATAAACCCGTGATGATAAATCAGATATGATGAATATATGAAGTTCAAATATATTTTTTTTTGCCTGCGGATGTTTGGGTATAACGGGTTAAAGCTAACTATTTAAGCTCAATGAGATAATCCTCAAGGGCTGAAGTCCACTTCCAGTTCTAATCTGACTGTAGATCTTCATATCTTTTAACTTTCTTGAAAATCAGGTCGTAAGTCGAGTTGACTGGTTGATAATATTAATAAGACCAACACACGAGCGTCGCGGATCGACACCGAGTACATTTTTCCTTTCGACACTATTCGATTCAATCAATCATAAACCAAAGTTTGTGATAATTACACTTTCTATTACTTACAGGAGAGTCGCTGTACGTTCCTCGAAGCTCTCTAATCCACTGAGATAATTTTTCTTTCTCCTCCGGGCTGAAAGACGACAGCATAAAGTTGAAACGTTTCTTAACGATCCTCTTGTTCGAGAAGGCCGCCATAGTTATTCAACTTCCCGCGCGTCGAGTAGTGACCCGTTTCCAGTCCTTTGACCGTTTCGAATCTGTTTTCAAACTCGATCAAAATGTAAACATGGCCTCCAGGTGCGGTGATATCCATCAACAAGATAATCAGGGCCATCTGGCGCATTCTAACAAAGCCGAAATTATTTTAACGACAAAAGATAATGATAGGGTGCTACTTTGGAGAAGTGATGGTGGAAATCAATGGAAATTACCTTGGTTTGTTCCAAGAGTAAATGAAAGTTTTCGTCAAGGAATAGCTAAATGGTGTTTGAATCAGCTGGTATATATTTATAGTTCTTTTTATAGCATGTTAAGTGTTTGTATAAGGAAGGAATCTGATCTTGTCATTGGGCCTTTATCTTTCCTTTTTTGATATGGATCTCAAGAAATGAGCAGTTCATTATTACACCGTTAAATGACCAAAAAACACTGCTCTTCGGAAAGATCGTGTAAGCGGTTATACTTGTCTAAGAGAGCCTGGGTTGTGGCTTGCGCACCGTCAAAGCCAGTTTAGAAGAAGGGTACTGCGGCTCAAAATATCTACTTTGAAAGCAAACAAATGAAGCAATCATTAGCCTACAAACAAACAAACAAGTAGGAAGGGGAGAAATGGAGGTGATTGACTGTGACTGAAAATTTGAATTACACTTGAGGAAAATCTGATTTAATACGAAAATGGTAACAGTAATAATGATAATAATGATAATAATCAAGATAATAATAATAGTAATAATAATAATAATAGTAATAAGGAGATATGATGATAATAAACTTCTTCCTCTCCTGTTCCAACAAATGGATTGGTATTCAACGTTTCTTTGGCAGGACATAAGGGGGTGAGGGGAAAAATGAAAGCATGAGACAGGTGTCAGTTATCAAACTCTTGCACGATGCTGGTCAGAGGTTTAAAACTTGTACACCACAGGGAGAAGTAATGTTTACAGTGCTTTTATATTGTTTAGGGTTTGACCTTTCCTAACATTGTTTCTACTAGTTAATAAGTTTTGTGCTTTTGCTGCAGAAGTTCTGTGGCACACTGATTATAGACAAGTGTTCCTGCATTTACTTGTACTGCTCTGTTGTATTTTTAAAAAATGAAACTGATGATATTTACTGTGACATCAATTATAGGTACACTTTACGTTTGGAGGCAGGTCATATACTGATATTAAGTGAAATGATCATTTTTTAGGGTGAGAATGTTCAAGTACATATTCATGGTGTGGCTGGTGTGAAACACAGCATATGTGCCGAGAAAGGAGGATCTGTGACATTAACATTTCATGTGTCTTGTAAAAACTGTCAGAACATTGTCCAGTCAAGGGAAAAAATTTGTGACAATGGAGTTTCTTGTTGTCAGCTTAGTGAATCAAATAGTGCATTTGGTAGTTTGTTTAAGTGGTTCTCTGATTCTGAGACACAAAGTGAGGATGTAGAAGAAGATGTCTGTCAATGGATTAAAAAGGCTTTGAGTCAAGGTAAACATGCCATTTCTGTGTGAAGGTAACATTCAGTTAAGTTTTTGTGCATATGAGACACCAATCCTAGATGGATGAAATGGCAATTGTGGCTATCCTTGATGAAGCATTGGAGTGGCAAAAGGGGTACTCCAGTCTGTCAAGTTGTAGTATACATTGGCAGATCTGGGGGGGTTCCAGGAGACCCAGGCTCCCCCTTATTTTGGGTATGCAGAAAGAAGAAAAGCCGGCAGGTGTAAACACACAGAAAAACTGTCCCCCTTCCTTAGCTTAAGGTCTGGATCTGGCACTGGTATATAATAAGCCAAATTACATTGTCATGCATTTCGATTGGTTTGTACTCGATGATGTCATCATTGACAGTTTTTTGCTTCTTTATTATATAAAACGAATAGATTCCATGTTGCTGTAACAGATCACAGGAGACATAAAATTATGGTAAGACCATCAGAGTAACACTTGGCTGTGCCTCATCTACCACTTTTTTGTTCTTACCACATTTTGACGTCATCTGTGATCTGTTTGTGTACATGCAGACCCTCAGCTATAAGGAATCTATATGTGGATAAGATAGCTTTCAGTAATGAGCTTTTTCAGAATTAGGAATGAATTTCTTGTGTATGTGTTAATGTCCCTTGTACTTTCCTCTTCTCAGTCATGCAAGTTTTTTTTTTGCTCATTTTTTGAGCCTTTAGATGGTTTTCTACATTTTTTTTGGGAGATGAAGTGGTTTCAAAAGAATTTGGAACAGATGAGAGGTTTTAAGAATAGCATGTGTGAATTTTTGAGAATCTGGTGGGCCTTCCCTTCTAAGGGAGGTGTGGACTTCTCTGGAAGGTTTAGACTCTCTTACATTTTTAGATATAGTTCAATTTGCATTGCTTTGTTGTTCTTAGATGTTAACTATTTTAAAGAGAATTAACGGTACACGTATGTTGGGAGTACAATAACATTTATACAAGGCTACAAGCAGGTAGCCAGTACATTTCATGTGGAATTGAGTTGTTGTTGGTTCTCTTCCTTGCTTCGAGGGTTTTTCTGCATCCTCTGGTTTTCCTCTATCTACAAAAACCAACTTTCCAAATTCCAATTCTACTCAGAAAAAGTGGACAGGAACAGTCACCTTGTGGAATGTCCACAATTATTATTATTGTTATCATTATCATTATTATTATTACGTAGGTAGATCTGCCTGCCACAAAGCTATTATTGAAACCCTTGGAAAGGTTTCTATCTCTTTAGTATTGACTTTAAGGATTGTTTACTTCTCTTTTTCTAGAATTAATAGTTTTAGAAGTGTCAGAAGTGGCTAATGGTGATTCTGGTTTACTTCAAGAACAAACAAAAGCTGAAAGAAGTTCTGAAAGTACTGTAGCAAACAACAGAGTTAGCAGTACACGTATGTTAGAAAGAATAAATACATCAGGGTCAAATTTTCATCAAAAATTATGTAAAGTTCCTGCTGAGGGAAACTTCCGTACTTTGGAGCAAGTTCAACCAGAAAAGCAACAGAATTCTAGTGGTCATACGTTGAAAAGTGTTAGTACGTGGAAGATTCCTCACAGAACTCCAAAAGATGGTCTTTTTTCTGCTTTAGAAAAACTTGTGGAATCAGCCCATTTTGGAAAATTAGGTAAATGCAATAACAGAACTGATAAATTTCATAATTTTTGTAATTAATAACTGCATCCTATTCAGGATTTTTATTTTTGTGTATCAATGTATCAATTTCCTGCAATTTTTAGTACATGTACCTACATGTTTATATGCCCTAACCTATGAATAGTACAAGCTTTTTCCCAGTTCTTGCTTAGACAATTACAATTAGGAAATAATAATTTGTGCGTCTCCAAGAAATGTTCCAACCCTCCTCTATGAAGTCACAGCAAATTACCAAATGGTAAAGTCAGCAAATTGAGCAAGTGGAGACTTAAGATTATAGTTGAAAGGAAAATCTTGTGCCAAACTGGATTTTCCTGTGCGAGAGGGATGCAAATACTTTCTGATTGAGACACTCTAAGAACTGTAAGCACTAGCCAAACAGGTCACTGATAACAAATCTTCATTTGACTCTGATGATGACTTCTAGATCACTATATAGTCACCACCAATGACAACATTCCTTTTCAGGACTACCCTTACCTGAACCATCAGAATACACAATCAAGTATTACCCCCTGGGTCCAAACTAAGCAGTGTTTTGGTTAGTGAGTGACTCTTGCTTGTGGACTCACTTTCCGATCAAAATAAATTTGCAAACCAGTTACCAATAATTCTACCTGTAATATCTAATAAAACTGGAAGCATTACAACCCAGCAATGTTTCAATTGTGGTTTAAAAGGACCCAAAGGGATAGGACTTTCAGATGGTGCTCTCAAAAGGTTCTCCACAATAACTTATATCATCATATTGCCAGTACATCCCAGTTTGAGTGGAAAAATATTTGTGTTTGGTTCTTGGTCACGAATTATGGACCAGGCCCAGGAAGGTCTGTTGGCAATGAAATTGAACCACATTTTTTCCCTCCTTGTCCTCCCACTTTCTGGTTCAACATCAAAATACTTCTCAATATTTTGTACTTGCTCTACAGAAAAAGAATTCCTTCAAAGAAAATTTGATAAGTATTGTGATGGACTTGGGGTAATAAAGTTTGAAGGGTTTTCCTTGGTTATGAAAGAGCTTGGAGTGACAGCAGGACTCAAAGGCTTATTCAGGTAAAAGGAGATTGAAATATTATTATAAAATTATGTAGTGACAAAGTTTTTTCTTTGTGTGTCTAAAGTGATTGCAGTGTGTTTGGGTCTGTTTCACTGTAGATTGTGATTGAAATGCAAATTTTATACTACCAAAGTGGTGAATAAATCCCTCACATTGCAGGGTAGTTTCATAATTTAAAAAGTTATGTACTACTTTAACTTTTCATCAGTTCCTTCTGATTTTTTTTCATTTGCTTCAATATTTCATAATTTTGAACGAATATGTATGCAAGATTTATCACTTAATCTGAGGACTTCAAAATACTTTCACTTTAAAAATTTGTTGCTGAATTTTTCATTAATTTTTTATTTTTTGAGTGAAAGAGAGGAGGTTTTGAGTCAGTGCCACATTGCCCATATAATTATTTAAGTCCTTGTTACCTGAGTCATTTGTGACAGATATGAACATTTTACTGATTACATTTTAATCTCTGATATTCAGAGCATTTGACTGGAACAATCATAGGCAATTGACCTATCAAGAACTACTCTTTGGAGTGGCAGCCATGGACCCCTCCACACCCCATGGAGGGCCATCTGGGGAGCTGCGTTGTCGATACATATTCAGGTGCTATTCTGCTGAGCAAGAATCTTGTCTGTCCTTTGAAGGATTCAAGTGAGTACCAGTAGTTCTTTCAATACTGCTTGACAGTCATAACATGATTTTGAGGGACTATCGTGGCCTTTAAGTACTGTTAAATCTCCTTGTGAAACTAAAAATTAAATGGCCACTTATCGCTGATCACTTGTCTTCCTTTATACTTCTGTCAATCAAAGCCTTGTGAAGTAGCCTCCTACCCATAGAGTAGAGCCATGGCCATCTGAGCTATCCTGTCCAGAATTTTCCTCTTTTTTTAGCTCATGCACATCATACCAAGTGGCCACTTTGATGTGCAGTTATATAAAATTAGAAAATGAAGACTGTGGGTATGAGAAATAAATGCAATAGCATTTAGTTACACCCCTGAAAATAGTGATTAAAACTCAAAACTGGCTCTTAAGGTAACATTACTTGCACAAGTCTTGGATGAGACCTCAGAACTGATATAGACCTAAAAATGTAGAAACCGTCCTTAGAGTTTAGGCCAGGAGTGTAGGAGGAAACTACAATAAATATGGAAGACTTGCAAAATAATTTATTTATTGAAAAATTGATTTATTTGGCTCTTTGTTGCAAAATTATTTATAACAAATTATTTTGCTTGCATAAAACCAAGATTGTTGATCAGATGTATGATTACATTTTCACATCTCAGGTCCATGGTAAAAGATATTCAGCGATTGAAAGGAGAGAGCAATGAAGAGGATGTTGTTTTAAAAGAAGCCAGAATCAAAGCCAAGTAAGTAAAGCCATTGTTAAGGTGATGGCTAAAGTACATAACTGGATTGAATTGCTAAACTGTCAAGGTCACTCTTAGAGGAGCTAATGTAGACTGAAAAGAGTGTTGGTATAATTCAACTGCTCCTTCTTTCCTTCCTTCCATTCAGGTACTAGTACTTTAGCCCTTTTTATACCTTAAGCGTTAAGAGGTAGATCATCCTGGTTGATTATCATCGCGTTATTAAAAACTGGATCGTTGGATAATGCAATTCAAGACTTTTTATTGGCTTAGCCATTATGGTATATCAGCCAACATACCGTAATCTACAAATATGGTAAGCGTACGTGTCAGCTTAAAATTAAAAGGGAGCTAAAAATTTAATAAAATTTAATAATTTAATTCAACGTTTTTAATAAAACAATTATTCCACTCGCGCTTGTTGGATATGAGATGATTATAGCCAACTCGGCGCTACGCGCCTCGTTGGCTATCTATCATCCCATATCCAACGCGCGCTCCGCGTGGAATAATTGTTAATTATCAATTTTATAGTGAACCACCCTTTAAGATTGTAACCCATCTCTGTTTTGACTACGTTACTTTTTCTGGTTTCTTCACTTGGATGTAATTTGGTTGCTAGAGTGACAACATAGTGATTGCTTCATGAAAATTTTGTGTGAATGCATGGCTAACGACTTTACTTACAGCTAACAGAGGGCTTAGACCAAGCGGTAATCTTTTGTCTGAATCTGGAGTACAAAGTAATTTATGAAAATTTCTTCTTTAGCTTTTAAGGGACTTCTATTGTTTATTTGTGTTAGTGCATATCATCAGAATGTTTGGTTCAGGACCTTCAGACAAACTGTCCTTAGTGGATTTTTTAGAAGCAGTGGGTAATCTTCGATTCCGTGGGACATCTCAGCTGTTACGTCTGCCTTTGTCAATCATCAAACTTGCCCAGGATGAAATGTATGAAAGCCTTACTCAGGAAAAGACATCGGTGATCACCAGGTACGTGTATTGTAAATTGGGTGAGTAGGGGCCCATGGTGGAAGACCTGGGTCGGATGCATGTCACTCAGGTTTCAAATCCAAACCCTAGCAGCTACCCAGTTTAACTTAAGAATCCTTTGTTTGCGCCATTCTGTGCTCCATCTTTTTAGGGGCCCGCAGCTTTGTCGTTATCTGCTTAAATAAAGTTTCTTAATCTCTTCAGCCCTGTTCATCTCATTAGTTATTCACCTTCCAGTATTCCTTTCAATTCTTAGCATAAAAAAGGTAGTATTAGATCAACTAACAATCCCGCCCCTAATTGATGTTTTTCTTTATTCTCATCATTGTCTGTTCGATAATGTGTTAATACTGTACGGAGAAATTCTGTCGTGATACTTACTTACTACTGTCAAGGAGGAATGCGTTACCAACGTACTTATACAGTATGTATATCGCCGATATAACGTTCCAACAAAAATATATCGTTCAAATATCGTCGATGAATCACCTTTTCGCGATAATAGGGACTTAAAGCAAACCACGACGGCTACGGCAACGAGAACGTGGAAAAACAATAGATCTAATTGGCAGAACAATAGCCCAGCACGTACGTTTTAAAACTTTGTACATTTCTTAGCCGTCCTTTGCAAAACAACAACGTGAAATCACCAAAATTTGCGTCGTCTGCGAAGCGAAACCGCGGCGGCAAATTATTTTAATTTACATTCGGAACTCGACGCTACTTTTATGCGTTATGTTGAGTTTGAGGTCTGGCGCCCTATGAGACGGTAAAGACATGCCGCCATTTTCGAAATTCTAACTAAAAGTAGAAACTCATTTTTTAATCGACGTCTTCCGTGGCGTTTCCGTCCTGACTGCTTAAAGTCCCTACTGAGCGATTATCGTTGCATTACCTTTGCAGAGTACTGTGACCCATTTTATGGCTTCCAGGGACGAATTTCAGAACAGACATTCCGTTTCTGAATTAGATGTCAATTGTAATTCTTGAATCTTGATCAGTATTCATTTCTTATATTCTGAGAAACAAGATGCGCCCATTTTTCTGTACAGTTTGACTGTTTATATGATTGGTTAACATGCAAAACAGATCGAACTCTCCAGTGAAGAAAAGAAGGAGTGAGCAAATGGACGACACCTTGGAATTTGAAGGAAATAATTTGACAATTGGGTGTGTAATCTTTGTAAATTAGATGCAAACTTATTTTGTACTTTGACATATTAACTTTCTAATTTTAAAGCCATTTCAATTGAGTGTCATAAAACCAAAACGAAAATAATCACAACAGCCAGCAGAAGAAAGGAAACTACTGAGCCAACGAGAACTTAAAGTAAAAACAACCAAATTGCCTAAAGCGAAGGGGAACGCGGCCGACCAATACGTGTTTAGTCTCACTTTTGCATCTGATTGGTGTAGAGAGTGGCGCGAGTTTTCTGAATCAATCACAGAGCGAAATAAAGCAAAACCAAAAGGATCCTTTCTCGGATTACTTTCGACACTCATGATGGGATACATGGAAGAAGAAAAAGTAATCGAATAAATAAAGAAAAATATGTGGACGTCTTTAACTCTCAAAATCGTTTTACGACAAAAGAATTCACTATTACATATTGCTACCAATATTAAACAAGAACATCCTCAGTCCAACTCATGCCCAGAACCACAGTGACTGTACGTGACTTGAACTCAAAGCACACAGACGAGTTGTAAAGGGAAAAAATTAGGGACATAAGGGACAGAGGAGAAGATTGATGGGTGCCATTTGTTTATTTTAAGAGCTGTAACAGAGATTCAATATGAACTTGCCACTCACACGGTTAAAGTGCGTCGAAGTGGAATGCTGAGTGACGTCAGTGTAATGTGGGATATGAAAAACACTGGCATGGTGTCAGGGAGTGCGCAGAGTGAACTGGAAACTAATAAACTCAAGATTGCGCGGCTACCTTCAATTAATTGCTTCAACAAGGTGTGTGATGTTAATTGTGGAAGTCTGTGAAATGGAGTGCATTTTGATGTAGTGTTTTCAAATCGAAATCAAAGGTCAACTTAGAAATTATCCTCGCAGTGGGACCGAGAATGGGACTGTAATTTTTGCAATTGCAGAAGAGAAGCCTGGGAAAAAATTCTTCGACGGGATTTGAACCCGTGCATCCCAGATACTAGTTGGGAGGGCGCTACCAAAATCAAAGTTTATTACAAAGGTCATTGAGAATAAAATTATCTTAAGAGTCCCTGGAATTTTTAGAGTGAAAATAGGCAGACTGCGTGAAGCATGGGAGGTGAGGAATGACCAAGTCTTGGTTTAATTTCTCTATCTGGTTTAGAGGATAGCGCAAGTTTTCTAGACCATTTACAAAGCGTGCGAGGCTAACGATCACAGATTGCTTTCGTCACTGACAAAAAATGTAACAGACTATCACCAAACAGATTTCAACAAACTTTGTCTCCTTCTAACATATTGTAACAGAACTTTTTGTAACCCTTTACAGCCTAATACACATTCTCCATACTGTTCTCTATGCATTTCCTAAGGTGCTGACAAGGAGAATTTGTTTCACAATTTAAGAGCTAGTTTAGTTGATGATCACTTTCCTCTGTTCTCCTGACCTTAATGTTTGATTCAGGGTAGAGTTTGTACGGAAGAACTAAATGCTGGTCATTCTTAGGGGTTAAAGAGTTAATGGGGGAGATGCGTGGAATGTTATTAAAATGTAGGCACAGAGGTGATCCATTTGTTTGATTTGTAACCATTCAGCAATCAGATGCCAATCAAATGCTGTCCGCCCTAAGGTACTTTGAGCGTACAATAAAGTCAACAGCTACATCCAAGGAAAGTTTTAACTGGGGTCTGGTGGAGATGACTTCCCTGGGGAACTGTCTGTTGTGTATCTGTCGAACTCTTCAGGAGATAATAAAGACGGAACCACGACTTATCAGAGTTAAGTCACCCACTTACATAGTCGGTGAGTCTCCGTTAAGTGTAAATAGATGGTGAGTTTTTATAGGTGTAATAATTGTCGTTTTGAACGGAAAATGCATTTACGCTGTTTCGGAAGCTTTTTTTTTTCGCTGTGTTTCTCTTGAACAAGCCCTTTGCTGAGTTGTGTACTTTTTTTATTCTAGTTTTTAAATCGAGGTTGATTAACGCTGTTTTGCACTCTCGACAATGACAGGTAGAGAAGAAAGACCTTTTCGCATTTAGAGTACCGGCTCAAGCTATTGGAGTACCGGCTATAGCTTGAGATACATTCTCTGGTGAACACTATTAACATGCCAAAAGATAAACAGCATTATTCCATAATTTAATTGAATTTTTGCGTTTTGTGGCTGGTGTAGAGAACTCACACCACCTCCAAGAGACAAATCAGTTGCAAAACTAAAACCATGTGCAACTTGGTCACTCTTGTTTTACGGCGCTACAGGACGTTTGTGTGTTTTCACTCTCAGTTCTTAAAGACTTCTAGTCATATTTTCTTTCTTTCCGATTGGTGAATGCGATCACAGATGTTGGTTAAGATTTACGAAACTCAGGTGATCTATGTGCATTTAAGTTGCGTAGCTGGCGAGTTTTTGGATGATTTATGCAATTGAAGGTTACGGAGTAGAGAAAACGCGTTGAATAGCGGAGATTTTTTCCTTCAGATGCCTCTCATGGCTTTGCCGCTCCGCTGCTTGACGGTACACAGCGCACAGAAACCACCGGATGAGCAAGCTATGCAGGATTTTTGAAATGATGCGTGATTTGTTTCTGTTACGTTTAATTTCACTTAGAAAGTCTGTTGTTTTCTCGGTAGGTGATCTTCATGGTAATTTTCGTGATTTGGTGTGTTTTGAGAAGGTTCTTTGGCGTATGGGCCCAGTTCTAACCCCCGCTAGTTTCATGTTCTTGGGGGACTATGTCGATCGAGGGGAGAATGGAGTCGAGGTATAATTCTCATCGTTTTGTGGAGTAATGTTAGTATTCCCTGAAGTTGATCTCAATCAAAATTGTAAACAGTTTGTAAGATGGTGCGATAATGATTTTAACTTGAATTAATTTTCAGCCTCGTGTTAGAACAACAAGCTAAGCATTAGAACACTGGATATTGTCGAAGTAACTAACTGACAGCCTTTCCGCCTATCTGGTTGGCTGACTCGCTAACTGCTTATCTACTGAATTGACCGACCGAC